AATAGCAAACGGAAGAGGCACACACATATACACACACACACACACACACTCCCCTACATTGTGTACTTTGGCACTTAACACACTTATTGTTGGGCACTTTTTCATCTTCTATTTTGCGGCTGCCTCTGGCTTCTGCGACTCTCGCTTCATTTTCATTTGCTTTTGCATTTGCCTTTTTCCTTTTTTTTTTTATTTTCGTTTTTACTTTTCTGCTTCTTTCTCTTCTTCTTTGACATTTTCTTTTCATTTTGTTTTGGCTTTGTCTTTGTGTTTCATTTCATTTGTATTCAGCGACGCCCCCTTGTCTGGCCGCAGAGTGCGCCGCAGCCTGCCATCTCCCAACATCCCCCTCCCCCCCCCCCTCCTCCGTGCCTTTGCCATTACAGTGAGACTTCGTTATTGTGTTCTCTGTACACACACACATGTACAACTAAACCCACACACATAAACGCCCACAAACAGCACTCAGTTAAACATTGCGACACACATGACGTATACGTAATAACCTTGTAACCAAAATGTTGTTATTTCGGGCCACATTTCTCAGTATGTGTGTGTGTGTGTGTGTGTGTGTGTCTTTCTTTATTTCGCTCTTTGTGTGCGTGTGTGTGGGCCACAGTTCTTGGCATTATTTTAAGTGTGCGAGCGTTTTTACTAGCTCACCTGCTCTCTCAATTGCGCCTCTCTCTCTCCCTCTCCCTCTCTCTCTCTCTCTCTCTATCCTTAAATGCTGTGTGTGGGCTGGCATAATTTCTAAATTTATACTTTAAATTCGCATTCTAAAACGCGGCCTTTATTATATGTAATACCTTACACACACACACACACACACACACACACACACACATATATTTTCTTATATGATTCTTCTTAAATGTTGGTGTTTATTGTCGTCGTGTGTTTCAAATTAAATGTTTTTCTTTATATATATTGTTCGTACATTTTACTTCAAGTACTTTTTATACACACACACACACACACACACACATTTCACAATTCACAACAAACGGCAGTTACACATTTTGAATCATTTAAAAGGATAATTCACTCTTTATAACAAATTTATATGTAGTTCTTATTCAATTAGAAAAGCAAATTGTTTACGTGAACTTTTTTGAACATATTTTTATCAACATTTTAGAAAGCAGTTTGCAATCCCCAAGAATCTGTTTGTCCTACTCAAAAATATTCACCGACTTTACAAGACAGTTAAAAAAACTAAAATAGATCAATTTTGACGCATTAATTTACACAACGTATTGACAGTAGCTAGAAAAAGGCTAGCTAGGGAATCATGTTTAACTTGGGCTTATATTGTTCAATCTTCATGAAATTTTCAGGGCATAAATAGGGCCTCAAAATGTGTGCAAATACCAAAGCCCAAGACTTTTTTCACACAAATGCCGTTCTTACAATATTTTGGGTAGAATGAGGAAAGATATCGCAAACGTGAAAAATTCCAATACGAGAGTCTACAAACCAAATTGGATGTCTCTAGCTGTTATAATCTTTGAGTTAGGCCTAAATAACAAGAGTTCGATATCGATATTTATCGATTTCATGCAAAACGTCGAGGAATATTTCATTAGAACAACGATTTAAATGAGTCATACAAAAACTGCACATCAGATTTGTTATTTAGATGAACAAATCCAAGAGAAATTCAGTTCAAATTTAACTGCCGCTGCGTTTGTTGTTTCAGTTCACGCCTAGACTTAAATTAAACAGATTTTATGTACTTTACGCCCGATTTCCTTTACTTAACTTAGTGCTACATTCAATCAAATTGAACAGCATTTATTTGTTTCCTAATTCATAACACACTCTTTTTTTATTAAAAAACCTGTTAAATTTGTTATTAGCATTGTACGGAACGCTGTTTGAATTTTTCCATGCCTTTTTTTCTTGCCGTTACCTAATCAAAAAGTAATATATTTATATATATATATATATACCTAAATACACAAACACAAAGCAATCTAAACAATGACAACCAAAAACCAAACAAAACAAAACTAAAAAATATATAAAATATTTTTAAAAAATTAAAAGTACAATTTTAAAATTATTTAAAGCAATCAAATGAACTATTAGTGAACTGTGATTTATCTTTAGCATACAAGAATAATTCTTTTGTCATTTTATTGCCAAAAGATGCAGATTTTTTCACGAAACTTATCGATTGTAATGGCTCCAATAATTGGCTTTTTTATATATGCAAAAACAAATCAAAAGAAAAAAAAAAAACAAAATATAAAGTTTAACGAAAAGCAAATAATATCAAACACTTTAAAAGTTGAAAGCAAACGCTTTTGAAAGCGAATTACTTGTATTTGTTTTCAGAATTGATCATTTTGTCTAGAAAATAAAACATATTTTGTTGTTGTTCTAAAAGCAAGCACGAAACGAAGCAAAAACAATAGAATATGCAAAAGACAACAAAAACAAAAACAAAACAAAAACGGTTCAAAAAAAACTAACCAACAAGAAAATTCATTAAACCAAAAATTAAACAAATTTTTAATACCGTATGCAACTATTTACAATATGCTTTTGTAATATTTTCGCACCCATAAAAAAAGTGAAAAAAAAGAGGAACATAATTAGAGTACTACAACAAAAAAAGTCAAAAGCTAGACGGGCTCTAAAAAAAAAAACAGAAAAGAAAAGAATGAGTAACAAAATGTAGGCAAGGAATTCACTGACAAATCTCTTTGACGATAAAATGATAAAACAATTATGACGTGTATATACCACATACAAATACGTACCTATCTATACCTATACCTAAACCTATACCTATACATATATATATATATATATTGATATATAAATATACATATATATGCATATATAATACACTTTCTATCTCTCTGTCGCTCTATTCGTAACTATATATATATATATGTATATTTATGTATATATATATGCATATAATTATATATGTTATCTACTCAATTTGTTGTTTTTATTGCGTTACTTTGCTTACCAAATTGTGCCCCACACGAGCACAACAACAACAACAACAACAACAAAAACAAAGACGTGCCCCCTCTTCAAATTGTTAACTACACCTCCCTCCCTCCCGCCCCTCGACTGGCCGCCTGTTGCAGCTACTTACATTAACAACAGAAAAAGAAAATGTATTACTTTTTGGTTTTGTAAATATAAATTGACTCCAAAAACGAAATTTGAAACCAACGCAGACCAAAAGCAACCACAAAACTAACACTCGTTGGGTTCTGGCACACTCACACACCTACACACACACACACTCACAAACACACACCTGAAACAACACACAGCATTTCATTTGAACTCAGTCGCAAGCCCAAAAAACTTGCGCTCAAATTCAATAAAAACAAAAACAACTCTCTCTCTCTCTCTCTATCCCACTCTCTCTCCCACTCTCTCTCTCTCTCTGTCTTACTCACACTCACTCTGTCTTACACTATTGCTGTCTCTGTAATATACTCTCTCTCTATCTGTCTAACTGTCTCTGTCTTTGTCACACTCACTGTCTGTCTAACAAACAAAAAAACTCTATTCAATTATTCAACTATATATGATATATATAATATATATATACTATATATTTATATATGTATGTATATATATATATTTTGTTTTTCACATAAAAAACCACAACCGAACACACAAAAATATGCATATATATATATACCAAAACAAACAAAAACATATACAGAAACAATTGTTTACAATATACTTTTGCACGTTATTTCTATAATGCATCTGAAATATATATTGTTATAAGTAATTTATGTTTCTTTCCTGCGTACAAGCAACTACCCAAAAAAAAAAATGAATACAAGAATATACCAAACTGAATATACCAATATATACCAAACAAAAAAATACCAACAACGAAATCAGAATCCAAGCGCATTTGTATGCCTCTCTCGTCAAACATGTCGTATACGCAATATTCACTAACCAACCAAACAAATCAAACACACACACGCACACACGCCCACTTTGAACAGTTGTGGGCGTAATGCACGTGAGCGTGTGCCCGACACACACACACACACACATACCTACACACACACACTCTCATATACAGCGACCCAGCCGCGTGGCTCTCTTGCAAAATGTGAGACACACTTCATGTTGCCCGCCCGCCCCCCTCAAGCCCTCCGCCACACTCTATCTCTATACACCCCCCCTTGTTGAACTTTTAGGTGCAGCTTGCCAAAAATAAATATTATTTAAACAAAAGAAAGAACACACACAAGTCTCTAAGAACTTAAGAAAACGTTAATCGCAATTAAAGAGAGAGTTCACAGAAAGAAGAACAAATTAATTCTATTACAAAACCTTATTGTAAATTAAGCGCAAAGAGAAAAAGTGTTGAATTAAGTAAACAACAAAACGAAAAACTTGTAGAAAAACAACAAAAGTCAGAAGCAGAAAAAATAGAAACATAAATTTTACGTACAAATATGGGGCCAAAATAGTCCGTAAGTGTTCGGGCAAAAATCGCTTTGGTTAAAATGTACAAAAAACAAAAACATAAAGAATTACTTGTTGTTAATACGATAATATATATACATATATATATATACTATATACTAATTTAGACATATATATTAACTAACTAAAAAAGTGCCTTAATTGTAGCAAAACTTATGATTTAGCAGGAACAGCGCAGCTATAAATAATAATAACAATAAAAATAATAATAATAATAATAAAAATAATAATATTAATAATAATGTAGCTTAAAAAACTACCAATTACACCAAAAACTAAAACAAACAACACAAAAAGAAACTAATAATAAAAAAATACAAAAATGACATATTAAAAAATACCAAACCATAATTAAAATTGATATGAAAAAAATACCAAAAAAAAAAAAATATTTCTTAAATTAAACCAAATCCTACAAAAAAAAAGTTTTAAAAAAAAAGTTACAGTTACAGTTAGAGAAACACGCACTCCCACAAGAAACCAATTTGAAATCGCCCCCATTTCAGATGTACAATAACTTCACGGGCGCCAGCGGAAGCCCCCCACTGCCCGATATCATTGGACAATATTACGGACCAGTCACAGCCGGCGGCTACGGTGGACCGGGAATAACAACAACAACAACAAACTTGCTCAACGGTGGCTATGGCAATGCCTATGAGCTGTACGGGCCATCAAGTTCGACGGGCTATTTGTATGATCCACAGGCCGCCGCCGCCGCCGCCGCTGCCGCTGCACAGATCTACGGACAGCAGACATCGCCGATACGCCGGAGACGTTACAGCATTGCCGGTCTGCCATCGGCGACCATGTACAACGATGTCTATGGTTATCCGGCGCCAACGTTGCAACAGACTAGCTCCTCGAACATTGTCAATCTGCTGAACGAGGCGAACAAATCGATATCGCGCTCATCACAGATCCTGAACTTGAGCCACCAGGCCAGGCAGCTGGGCGGTGGGCAGTGCCAGCTGCATCAGCAGCAGCAGCAGGTGGTGACAACACCGCTGTCCGGCCGTGTGGTATCCAGTTATCCGACGCTGCATGGTGGCGATTATTCGCCGCCGTATCTAAACGATAACCTGCTGCAAATGTCGACGAGCTTCTCATCCCAGCCCAATATGTACTTCCAGCCGCAGCAGCCGACGCAGCTGACGGCCGCACAAAGTGCCGCTGCGGCGGCTGCACGACTGCGACCCGCCTACTCCGTATCGAATCTTGTCGGTGGCTATTTGCCAGCCAGCTGCAAGTACGGCGCAACGGGTTACGCAAATCCCTATCAAAGCGATCTAACCGGCTACGGTCTCGGTCTGGGTTCGGGTCTCGGCTCGAATCTGGGCCTAGGCCTGCCGGCATCACAACAGCGCCAGCTCATGTCACACTCACTGCATGCCTCCAATCCCGCCATAACGCAGTACTATCAGCAGCATTCGATGCCACCGCCGGCCAGCTCGACGCTGGCCTACAATCTGCATCAGCAGTTCGCCGGCACTCAGCAACAGCAGCAGCAGCAACAGCAGCAGGCAGCACATTCGCATATACAGGCCTCGGTGCAGCAGCAGATGAACCCGCAGTATCAGTATCATGTGCATCAGCACCAGAATCATATGCAAACCCATCCGCTGGCATCGCTGGCCAATACGAGCGGCCCATTTGGCGGTACGCTGGCGAGCAGCGCTCGAGATATTGGCGTCGGCTACGAACCGCTGCATCATTCGTCGCATTTGGGGTCGCATCATTATTCGCATCCGCATCCGCATACGCATCATCATCATCATTTAGCCGGCGGGCTGCATGGCCCACCATATTCGCACACGCATCATCAGCAGCAGCTACAACAACTACAACAACAACAACAACAACACCATCATCATCACCATTTGCCATACTCGAAACTAGACTTAGATTACCCGAAACTGCCGCATGAGCATAAGCGACAAGTAAGTTTTAAATTTGATGTAGACCAGCTATCCCTAGATTCCTAGATACTACTCGATACTATCCGATACTACTCGATACTACTCGATACTCAACAGTCACATTCAAAGATATTCAAAATATGAAAACATGCCCATCAAAACGTAATCCGCAAAGTCGTATCTGAAACAAATCAGAGCATTCCAGAACAAAAAAAAATTCAATCATTTAGCCAGCCTAACGGTTCCGTATCTGAACTATACTCCAACAATTTTTTATTGACTAAATGATGCATTTTACGCTTTTATCCCCCAACGCTCCCCACAAAACCCAAGACATCCAGTCGAAAAAAGATAACAAGCCCACGACATTTGCAGTGTGCGGTTCTCGAAGCGTATAGAACACCAAGTATTACACATACAATACATATATATATATATATAGGCCATATATGATATAAATATATATGGCTCATTAGATCTAGTTCATAAGAGAAGAAGAAGAACTATTGTTTCATGTGCCATTTTACAGTAGCGAAAGAAATTAGTGTAAAACAAATTTAAAGAGCTGTAAAGTTTACTTATTTCATATTTTTTAGTTAAGCTTCTTGGTACTTTTTTGGTATTTTATTTCGGTATTTTTTTGGTATTTTTTATATTTTTGGTATTTTTTTAGTTTAGCATAGAGCACTCAGGGCAACCTTTCAGTAAAGAAATTGTTAAAAGTCTTGTATAGTAATGAAAGAATTCGTTTGAAATTTGAAACACTTTGCTCTTGACTCTCAAAAGTAAAAAGACTGTAAATAAAAAAAAAAAACAAGAATAAGAACAACAAAAAGTGAAACTAAATGATATTTACTCATAAAATATATAAATCATTTATACAATATAGTTATAAATAAAAAATGCAAGAAAAGAGAAAGAAGAAACTGTAATGAATATTAAGAGAAAATTTACTTTAATTTATTTAGTACATAACCCAAGACTCGTATGTGTTAAGTTATGCGAGAGGTTGGAAAGAATGAAATGAAACCCTAATAAGTACTCGTACTCGTACCCGTACTCATACGCGTACTCATACGCGTACACATACCCGTACTCGCATTCGTACTTGTACTTGTACTCGCTCTCGTACTCGTACTCTTACTCGTAAGCGTACTCATACTTAGTTTTATACAGATATAGAAAAATTGTTAGTGCAACTCTCTCCCTCTCTCTCTCTCTCTAACTATCTCTTACTCTCCCTCTATCTGAAGAATAGCGACTACTTAAACCTAAATACATGTATATCTAAAGTATGTATAAGTGAAGTTTGCATAGTAAGAACCCAATCCCTTCCACTCTAGCCAAGGCGCCTCTATACCCAACCTACTAACTACCTAACTAGCAAATTACCTAACCTAGAATTCCAGAATCTAAAGAACCGTACGTATATTTGCATAATAGATTGTGTGTTCAATTACTTTAATCGCCAACTCGATTCGGTTCTATTTAGTACAGTCGGTCCGGTTCGACTCGGTCTTGTCGGACCCTATATACCAGTACTCGTATTACCCACTAAGTAATAGCGTGTGTGATTAGCAATGAAGGTCAATTATATGTAAAGATGAAATTTATATGCAAATCCAGAGACGGGTGCAATACAAAGCTAAACAAAACTTAAGAAATGTAGTTGAAATAGTTGGTGTGAAATTTGATGATATATATGGAAAAAGTCATGGAAAGCTGGGTATATAAATATATTAACATCTGGCAATGTGTTTAACACAACATTTGGTTGCAGTTTAAAAAGAAAGTAAAACGGAAAAACGAAAGATTTGAATCGAAAAGCAAAAACGAACGAAGCATTCAAAATGTGTCTATGCAAATAATATACAAAAAAAAAAAAAAAAATGGTATTATGTAACATGTACTAAAAGTTCTTATACTATATTTGAAACTAACACTACTTAGTATTCCAAACTGAACGTTTATATTATACTTATACAACTATCTATACTCTATATACATATATACTTATATATTTAATTGCCAATACATACATACATACATGTATCTAGGTGCTTTTTATTACAAACTTTGATTCGTCTTCAACTAAAGCAAAAACAAGAAAAACAAGCAAAATCTTCTTTATGCAAATTGTTCGGCTTTGAAATTGCGTTCAAAAACAAAAAAAAAAAAAGAAACTTAGAAAACTTTTTCGACTTTTTTCGAATAGTATTTTTCTTAAAGAAAGTAAAACCCGTTTGTTATAGCCTAGTACGTAGTTTAATCAAAATCCGGAGTTACTCTAATTTGTCTTATATAGCAAATAGATATATACAAATATATATATATTTATAGTAGTTGAGCGTCCCTTCGGAACTAGTTCGTTGTGGGCGTGTTTATTTTTAGGAGGCGGGCTTTTGCGTATACAATACGCCGTGCGCCCCGAAACGAGCAATAAAAACTTGCGTTGTGTTCAGTAGAGGACTTTAACTAAACCTAACCTTAAATTTTCGTAACGCTAACTTCTGATTTCGTATAGCCCAACCCAAGCAAGAAGTGTAATCGCGCTCTCTCTCTAGTCATAAGAAAGGATAATAAGCTTAACACTAGCCAATTGAAAGCATTTATGGCAGCAGTTGCTGTCCGTGTAAAGGACATAATTATAAAAGAAAAAGAAAGAAAAAGAAAAGAAGAAAATAAACAAGAAGATAAACACATTCGCATACATAATAACTATACTTAAATAGTTAGTTAATCCGTTTTGTCTTCGTTTTTTTCGGACTTTCGTTTGGGTTCCATTTCTTTGTGAAGCGTGGAGATACATCAATAAGCAGGCATTTACTTATAATATGATATTATATAACAAAATGATGAGTCATGATCTTGAAAACTTGCAAATATTTATACTTATTAAATACGTATACATGAATAAACAATATATTATATATATATACAAATATATATAATTGATTACTACTCCAGCGATATACTATATATATTATATATATTTATACACTGATTTGTATTTGTAAACTTAATTAAGATATATTACTTCAGACTTAATTCAAAACTAATTCTTGAGCTCGAACTCGAAACGAATTCTGTTAAACTTAAACCTAACTCTTAAGCATTATAAATGACATTTTCGAAAGCAAACAATAAAAAATTTAACATGCGACAACCGAATGGATAAGCTATGCCTAACACGTCTAGCACCAGGTTAACAGTATTAACCAGCTATAATGACCCGCCCCCCCCCCGGCCCCGCCCCCTCTAACAATCCCTGTCTATTAAACATACATACACACACACACACAGCCATACACACTCTGCCACACTTGACCCTCGGCTCTGCGGTGGGGCAATGACTTTTGCCAGCCATATTATACATTCTCTCACATTTGCTCGCCACGCCCACACGCCCACACGCCCGAACCCTTTCGCTCATCTAAATATACATACGAACCATAAACAAACACATTGCACCAAGCGTAACTTTGACACAACCAAAAAAAAAATACTGCAAAAATACTAAGAAAAATACTATACAAAAAAATACTGCAAAAAAAAACTAACCATTTTGTGTGGCAAGGCAAGTGCGTTTTATGCATTTGCTTTGCATTTGTGATGCAATTTTAAAATCTGGTATGTCTTGTATCTTATCCTCTTCCCCCCATAATCCACCCGAAACAAAACAAATCCGCGCGCAGTTGGACGAATTTCGTCTTGAAATCCAAAGAAGGGATCAAGAGATCTTGGCGATGGCGGCCAAAATGAAAACGCTCGAGGAGCAGCATCAGGTAATTGGCGCAGTTGCGCGAATCCAAAACCAGTTCAATTGTTCCATGCACAGTAAAAAATAACTTTCGTTAGGACTATCAGCGGCACATAGCGGTGCTCAAGGAGTCGCTATGTGCCAAAGAGGAGCACTACAATATGCTGCAGACGGACGTCGAGGAGATGCGCGCCCGGCTCGAGGAGAAGAATCGCCTCATCGAGAAGAAGACACAGGGCACCCTGCACACGGTCCAGGAGCGAAATCGTTTGACCAGCGAACTAACCGAGCTCAAGGATCACATGGACATTAAGGATCGCAAGATCAGTGTGCTGCAGCGCAAGGTCAGAGCCGAATGCAGCAGCAGACTAAAACAAATCATGCCTAATCCACAAAAACACACCAACACACGCACACACACACCTCCACACACCTCCACAGATTGAGAACCTGGAGGATTTGCTGAAGGAGAAGGATAACCAGGTGGACATGGCCCGTGCTCGGCTCTCGGCCATGCAGGCCCACCACAGCAGCTCCGAGGGTGCATTGACCAGCCTGGAGGAGGCCATCGGCGACAAGGAGAAGCAAATGGCGCAGCTGCGCGAGCAGAGGGATCGCGCCGAGCACGAAAAGCAGGAGGAGCGCGATCTGCACGAACGCGAGGTGGCCGACTACAAAATGAAGCTGCGCGCCGCCGAAAGCGATGTGGAGAAGCTGCAGACACGACTCGAACGGGCCGTCAACGAGCGGGAACGGCTCGAGATCAAGCTGGAGGCATCGCAAAGCGAACTGGGCAAATCGAAGGCGGAACTGGAGAAGGCCACCTGCGAGATGGGACGCAGCAGCGCCGATTGGGAGTCGACAAAGCAGCGGATCGCACGCCTCGAGCTGGAGAACGAGCGGCTGAAACACGATCTGGAACGTTCGCAGGTACTCGTGCATTATGACCGGTTCCCCGGCTCGACTAGTACCTATTCACATATCATGCATATATATATATATATATATCTAGTATAAAGCCAATGTACCGATTGTGTTCCTCTGTGTGTACATATAATTATATATATATGCGAACTTAACTACTATTCAAATATCTAAATATATCGATAGCTATGACGATAACGATAACTTAACTTAATCAATACTATTACAATTACTATAAATATTTGCCTCTATGTGTGCCTATATATTTACATGTACACTTACAACAACAACAACAACTTTGTACTACAACTACAACCAACATCTCGCATCCCAACAACAACAACTACAACTTTATCACTCTACTATATATATATGTATATGTTTATATAAATAACCGATACATTAACCAACAACAAAAATCAAAATAGATGCAGCTAGAAGAACAGACCACACTACACAAAGTAAGCCTATTGCCAAACCAACCTACCTACCTAACCGAACTACCCAACTACTTGTAGTGCCTAAGTTGTGCTCGTTTCTCGTAGTGTCCACATATTTTACTAAAAACCACCCAGTAGCAATACACTTTAGTTACTAACAAGCATTTTGCAGCATTTAGAGCCAGCAGTTTTTCTTTTCCTTTTTAGTTTCAGTTTCTAGATTAAGCCACATGCAAAGGGCAACCCTTAAAACTTCGACAACAACGCTTTTTAGCATCAATCAATCAATCAGTTACTCAGCAGGAATAGTTTTATATATTTAGACATCAGCGATCAATTCAATCAATCTGTTATCAAAAAAAGAAACTTTTTTTTTAAATGCATACATCAATTAAAAATGCAGCTTCCTAGCATTTACGCTCTTGTACGTAGAGTAAGTTAATCAATCAATCATTCAATTAGCAAAAACTGTTTTATATATAAATATATCAGTGATCGATTCAGCTTTCTAACATTTACGGGTGTTGTGTAGTTCATTAATCAATCAATCAATCAGCTATTTAGTAGACAATATATTTCTTTTGAAATTTAATGGTTTTGTTTTGTAAGTAGATTACCAATCAATGAATCAATCAGCTAGCAGAAACAGTTTTATATATTTATACATCAACTTTCTAACTCTCACGGGTGTTATGGGGCTCATCAATCAACCAATCAGTCAGCTAGAAGATACCATATTTCTTTTTAAATTCATACATCAGTGAAAAATTCAGTTTCCCAGCCTGCACGGTGTGTGGATTAGAAGAAACACTCTTATATATTTATACATCAGTTAGAGATTCAGCTTTCATCAATCAATCAATCAGTCAGTCGGAAGAGACTATTGCTTTAAACTTAGTTTAAAACTTAGCATTCTAGCATTTAAGGTCCTGTCCGTGAATCATCAATCAATCAATCAACCAATCAATTATTCTGTAAGTCAACAGAAACCATTTTAAATATTTTAATGAAGCGAATCATTAGTTATATGTTCAACTATTCGAAAAGTACTTAATTACAAGCTGATAAACTACGCAAATGTCGCAATTGCAATTGTCTAAAGACTCATAAATAGTTTAAGTTTAATGATAGTTTGTGCCTGTTTCAAACAGTTTGCTAACTGCAAGTTTTAGGGCCTGCCCATTTGCATAAGAAACTAGCTAGCCTCTGTAGCCAATAACACGCGCACTCCGCACTTCCCTCTCTTTAGCCTGGTCAGCACACACAGCACAACAACAAGCTCCACGCACGCGCACACACACACATATAGACATACAGACAAACTTTAGCTAATAGCAGGGTTTGATTTAATCTTGTACACTTACACGATTACAAATTGATTGTGCATAATTCAAGCGGATACAATTATCATCGCCTTTCAATTAAGTATGCCTCATGCAATGTCTAAATGTAAAATGGTTTAATTGTTGCTGAACATGCATATTGTATCTTACTTTACGTACTTTACAGAATGTACAAAAGTTAATGTTCGAATCGGGCAAAATATCGGTAAGTTGGCCACAAAAAGCCAGCCAATAATGTAGAACAAGAGATTAATCGATAAATCACTGACTTAGCTAAACATTTATCGATTTGCCAAAGCCAATGCTCGATATGAAATATACGCCTTGTAGTCACGCTTTGTTAGGCTCAAGCTCAGGCTCATCATGTTATAAATTTGCGTTACTTTACAACACTTAAGTATGCACAGCTCATAAGTGCAGTGTTGAGTAGTGATATATATATTAATATACATTTAGTTATACGAAAATGTTGCTACTTTTGAGGCCTTGAATTATAAGAACTCAATTTGTAAGCTTGGACCAGGGCTGCAAGCCGATTTGAAAACTAAAGTAAAGTTAAATGGAGAAAGTATTGATAAAAATTCCATAGCTGATATACAATTGGTAGAAAAAATGTATCCCTGAAACCTTTGGCTTGGGTTTTGCAGCCCTGGCTTATGAACACACACCGATTTTTGAAGCAGTTACACAAAACAAATATTGAAAGCGTTAAATGCACCCATTATCAAATCCCGCCCACAATATAAAAGCTTGATACAAAATCCCAAAATCTCAAAACTCATGTTCATTTAAAAACACACTTAATTGAATTTGTAGGGTATATCTAGACACAAATACCCTTCAAATTCCATATAAATATACTCGCACATATTCACACATTACGTATACGCATCGTATGCCCATTTTCAATTGCTTTTGCTGCTGGACTATTTTTTTGCTAATGTTTCCGTTTTGTGTTGATGCCTAACTGTTTTTCTAACTCTGTAGTTGCAACAATACTAATAGATATCCCTGCTATAAACTATATACTAATTGTTATGTTTCGCGTCGCGTGTAGACGACATTCGGACGCACCACAATGACCACATCCCAGGAGCTGGATCGGGCGCAGGAGCGCGCGGACAAGGCTGCCGCCGAGCTGCGACGCACTCAGGCCGAGCTGAGAGTGACACAGGTACAGTTAATCGATCACAAATCCCATAAGCGCTACCTATATACATATACTATATACACATATCTATATATATATAAACATATTCGTATCTATATCTGTACGCACACGAGTATCTGTGTGTGCTCTATTAGCTAGTTGTCTGAAAATGTTCTCGCAAAAAGTGCAAGCCAATTTTCATGTCTATGTGTGCGTGTGCTACAACAACAACAACAACAACAAAAACTTGTTAATAATACTTTGCATTGGCTTCGATTCATGTATGAATACTCTATACAATCTATATACTCTATACTTTCCACTGCTACAAGGCAAACACTTTCTGAAATAAGCAACACATTCAGCAATAAAAACAGCAACAACTACTGCGACACACACACATACGCACACCCACACTCACACTCACATAACCACACTTTTGCACCTGCAAATCAAAACACTTTCGTGTGCATTTTATATGCAAACATTTTTAAAAAAAATTCAAGACTTGCCAAACTTGAAAATAGTCCAAAATTTAAAGCAAAATTGTTTCTAGACATTGTTTAGAACTTTTTATAAAGTTCTGCTTTTTTTTAAATAAATTTATTTAAAGCAGAAAACTTTTAAAATAACATTTAACAATTCTGTATATTTCTTTTTTTTTTAAAAAAAGTTCAAAAATAAATATATTTGTAAGAAAGCTAGGAATAATTTTGAAAATATCGCTAAAGTTTTTACTGCTTTTACTTAGCTTTAACGTAAAAGAAAACCAGATACAATCATAGTTACCTATAAATATATTTGCGTTGCCTTAAAGTTGTTAAATAATGTATACTAAAACCCAAACTCTATCTAAACCGTTGTGCTTACATTCATTTTCTATAGGGCGAAACTGACAAACGTTTTGTGAGTAAATGCTTAAAAAACAAAAAAAAACCAACAAACACAAACAAACAAAGATACTCGTACAAGTTTTAAGTAACAAACAAACAGAAACTAAAACATTTGACAACAAAAGAAATCAATATTAAAAAAAAATTAATTAATTATCATCTATCTGTTTGTCACATGTTTTACTTACTGTACAATACTATATATATATATATATACTTGCATTGCCTAACATACTAACTAACCCACATAAATATATACTTAACACATTTATATTTGAAAAACAACATTTGTTCCACCATGTATAAATCGCTTTGAGTCCATGTCAAATCATCTCTCTCATCGTTTGGATATGAAACATTTGAGTGTTGAGTGCGTCTCCTGCATGAGTTGTGTGTATTGTCGCAGGTCTCCAATGGAACATTAAAACCATCCAAAAAACCACACATAACCTCACAAAAAATAACCCCCTAAGAGCATTCAGTGTGTACCCAAAAATATAAATTCTTTAAGATAGTCAGATAAAGGAATTGTAGCTCTGGCGCTGAGTTTAGGTTTAATTTAATAGAGAATACGATATTCTCTACACTCTATATAAAAGTCTTTATATATATTTTAATTAGCACTGGAATCGATCTGTGCCTTCTGAAATTTACCAATCTTAAGACTGAGATAAGAATATAATTTAGTATAGTAAAAAGGTCTGAAGTTAACTTAAGCTTTTCAGCTCATCAGTTCACAAGCGTGAACTAAACTTTAACTTCCTATAATTTAGTGTCAGGTTTCTTTTCACTTTCAGATATTAGCTAGATTAATTTAATATAAAACCTTATTCTCATATCACTAGCAATAGCTTTTAGCTTTGATATTATATTCTAAGGGCTCAAACAAAAGACCTCTTCTTCGCATTTCAAATCTCTCGCGCATTAAATTGACAATCTTAAGTACAAAGTGCAAGCAAGTACATCAGGAATTGCCCAAGAGCTTTAATCCAGGAAACTGTAGTATAAACACTGCCTCACACACACACGCACACATATGCACACTCTCACACACACACACACATAAACAACGACAACATCTCAGGTTATACTCGAAGCCATTTTGCAACGTGACTTTGACAGCAGTTTTCGTAGCGAGCTGCGGGAAAGTTGCAAAACTTGCGCTTGACTTAGTTAAGCTGTTAATTAAGCGTATACACACACACACACACACACAGGCAACACACTCTCACACACACACACACTTTGCCCGATAGTCTTAACCTTAATGCTCATAGCTTTACTTCTTCACACACACACACACATACTTATTCCGTTTTGCACCCGAGCGCCACCTATCGTTTGCTTAAAACAGCCTCATTGCCTGCTCTCTCTGCCTTTCTCTCTCTCTCTCTCTTTCGATAAGCCTTTGTGCCCATTTGTCATGTGTCATCCACTGTCTATTGTGAATTCGCTTTGTGCTCAGCCTCGCAGCATATGAATCGCTCGTTTTAGACGCTGTTATCGTAATCGTAATCGTAATCGTATTTGTTATCGTAATTATTATAAGTACTCGTACTTGTTGTTTACCTTTGTTTTGTGTCTGACAATCGATCAGTCAACCAGTCAGTCAGTAAACCAGTCAACCAGTCAGTCAGTCATTCATTTAAGAACCATCCTCACATGCTGCCTGTAAATAATATCCGTTATCCACATCCAATTTACCCCCCGTCCGTCACATTAACTCGATAACGATAACAAAACAACCCCCAACGATAATGTGCAGTCGGACGCGGAGCGCGCACGCGAAGAAGCCGCCGCCCTGCAGGAGAAATTGGAGAAGAGCCAGGGCGAAGTGTACCGGCTGAAGGCGAAGCTGGAGAACGCCCAGGGCGAGCAGGAGAGTCTGCGCCAGGAGCTGGAGAAGGCGCAGAGCGGCGTCTCGCGTATACACGCCGATCGCGATCGGGTAGGCAAACACTTTCAGCTAGTCCATAGCCCGTTCCACTCAAATCACCCCAATCCTACGATAGGCGTTCGCCGAGGTGGAGAAGATCAAGGAGGAAATGGAGCGCACGCAGGCAACGCTGGGCAAGGCGCAGCTGCAGCACGAGAAGCTGCAAAACACGCTGGACAAGGCACAGAACGAGGTCGATCATCTGCAGGATAAACTAGACAAGGCCGGCACCGAGAATCGACGTCTCGTGCTCGAAAAGGAGAAGCTCACCTATGACTACGATAATCTCCAATCGCAGCTGGACAAGGCGCTCGGCCAGGCGGCGCGCATGCAGAAGGAACGCGAAACTCTTACACTGGATACGGATCGCATACGCGAGAAGCTTGAGAAGACGCAGGTATGGGATGCCCCCAAGGTGCCACAACACACACATATACGCACACCAAAGCAGACACACACACACACACACATGCGACACACACGTCACAGACGCCGAGCCATGCAACACGCGTAGATCTTGTTACCTAACCTGTGCCTAAACGTTGTCTATGAAATGTTACTGTAATGTGTTGTAAATACCTCAATCCAAATACTCAACTAACACAATAATCCTCCCTTCCTTCCTCACCAACCAACTGTACATAGCTAAATATATGTATCTTGGCATTTACGGGAAGAGGCTTATCTCATAATATTCAAAACATCATCAAAAAACTCAGATAATATAATATACAAACGGGTATACCCTGGCCTTGCCCGTGGTACGCATACCATTTTCATAAGAATTTCGACTAAAAATTTGGTTGCCAGATTTAAATGCCACATTGATTGAGAGGCTAAACCATGAACAAAGAGCCAAACCTCGTGAAAATCGGACGAGATTTGACCGAGTTATGGGGGTGGGAAATTTTGACCTCTGTCCATATACGATATTTGAGGGTACCATTTTCACATGAATTTCGACTAAAAATTTGGTTGCCAGATTTAAATGCCAAATTGATTGAGAGGCTAAAACATGAACAAAGAGCCAAACCTCGTGAAAATCGGACGAGATTTGACCGAGTTATGGGGGTGGGAAATTTTTACCTCTGTCTATATATGTACGATATTTGAGGGTACCATTTTCACATGAATTTCGACTAAAAATTTGGTTGCCAGATTTAAATGCCAAATTGATTGAGAGGCTAAAACATGAACAAAGAGCCAAACCTCGTGAAAATCGGACGAGATTTGACCGAGTTATGGGGGTGGGAAATTTTGACCTGTCTATATACGATATTTGAGGGTACCATTTTCACATGAATTTCGACTAAAAATTTGGTTGCCAGACTTAAATGCCACATTGATTCAGGGGCTAAACCATGAACAAAGAAACAAACCTCGTGAAAATCGGACGAGATTTGATCGAGTTATGGGGGTGGGAAATTTTGACCTCTGTCTATATACGATATTTGAGGGTACCGTTTTCACATGAATTTCGACTAAAAATTTGGTTGCCAGACTTAAATGCCACATTGATTGAGGGGCTAAACCATGAACAAAGAAACAAACCTCGTGAAAATCGGACGAGATTTGACCGAGTTATGGGGGTGGGACATTTTGACCTGTCTAAATACGATATTGGAGGGTACCATTTTCACATGAATTTCGACTAAAAATTTGGTTGCCAGATTTAAATGCCAAATTGATTGAGAGGCGAAAACATGAAAAAAGAGCCAAACCTCGTGAAAATCGGACGAGATTTGACCGAGTTATGGGGGAGGGAAATTTTGACCTCTGTCTATATATGTACGATATTTGAGGGTACCATTTTGACATGAATTGCGACTAAAAATTTGGTTGCCAGATTTAAATGCCAAATTGATTGAGAGGCTAAACCATGAACAAAGAAACAAACTTCGTAAAAATCGGACGAGATTTGACCGAGTTATGGGGGAGGGAAATTTTGACCTCTGTCTATACACGATATTTGAGGGTACCATTTTCACATGAACTTCGACTAAAAATTTGGTTGCCAGACTTAAATGCCAAATTGATTGAGAGGCTAAACCGTGAACAAAGAAACAAACCTCGTGAAAATCGGACGAGATTTGACCGAGTTATGGGGGTGGGAAGTTTTGACCTCTGTCTATATACGATATTTGAGGGTACCATTTTCACATGAATTTCGACTAAAAATTTGGTTGCCAGATTTAAATGCCAAATTGATTGAGAGGCTAAAACATGAACAAAGAGCCAAACCTCGTGAAAATCGGACGAGATTTGACCGAGTTATGGAGTTGGGAAATTTTGACCTCTGTCTATATACGATATTTGAGGATACCATTTTCACATGAATTTCGACTAAAAATTTGGTTGCCAGATTTAAATGCCAAATTGATTGAGAGGCTAAACCGTGAACAAAGAAACAAACTTCGTAAAAATCGGACGAGATTTGACCGAGTTATGGGGGTGGGAAATTTTGACCTCTGTCTATATAGGATAATAGCTGTTATACCTGGGATACCTCGTTACGTAACGCTTATCACGTAATGGGTGTTACGTAACACGTAACAGACGTTACGTGTCACGTGACAGGAGTAACGTAACGCGTATTGCATAACAGGCGTTATGTAACGTGTATTCCGTAACAGGTATTACGACAAGCATATAACGTAACATGTGTTACGTCACGTAACAGGTTTTACGTAATGTGTGTCACATATCGTGCTTCACATAACAGAAGGTACGTAACGCATGTTACGTAACGCATATCACGTAACGTGTGTCACGCAACATAAGTCAAATAACGTATAAGCCTGAGAGAAGAACTGAATTACACTTGACTCTGCAAAAAAAGGATTATTCCATCTTCTTTGCTTGACAGTGAAGCCCCGTAAATGCCCATATACCATATAGAACATACTAAACACCATTTGCGATGTATCATACATAAATATATATACACATACTATATATATATATATCCTAAATGTACTGCATATCGTATATACGTATCTATCTTTCAACTATCTGCTATGTATGTATGTAACACCAACACTTTGAATACACCCATGAATACACTCAATAAAAAAAAAAACAGATGCAGCTAGCGCGCATACAAAAGGAAAGGGATCAGTTCTCCGATGAACTGGAAACGCTCAAGGAGCGCTCGGAATCCTCCCAGACGCTGCTCATGAAGGCCGCACGAGATCGTGAGGCGATGCAAACCGATCTGGAAGTACTTAAAGAGCGCTATGAGAAATCGCATGCCATACAGCAGAAACTGCAGGTAATTTGAACCCAGAAACACACAGAAAAAAGCAAGGTACAAAACAATTGGCTCTATATAATACATATATTTAACACTAATCGCAACTAATCAAAAACGCATGAGAAACTGAGAACTACCAGTGAATTGGCTGTTTGTAAATTTGTAGCTTCCTTGAACACTGCTTGGCCCAGCTGAATCTCCCGATCCGATCTAGATATAATTTAAACCTTGATCAAACTTCTTTTGCTCTTGCAGATGGAGCGCGATGATGCTGTCACCGAGGTGGAAATACTCAAGGAGAAACTGGACAAGGCTCTGTATGCCAGCCAGAAGCTCATCGACGAGAAGGACACCTCCAACAAGGAGTTCGAGAAGATGCTGGAGAAGTACGATCGTGCTCAAAACGAGATCTATCGCCTGCAGTCGCGCTGCGATACCGCTGAGGCGGATCGCGCCCGACTCGAGGTGGAGGCCGAACGTTCCGGTTTGGCCGCCTCCAAAGCGCGCGAGGATCTGCGCAAGCTGCAGGACGAAAGCACACGGCTGCAGGAGGCCTGCGATCGTGCCGCCCTGCAGCTCAGTCGCGCCAAGGAGTGCGAGGATAATGCGCGCGCCGAACTGGAGCACAATCGGGATCGGTTCGACAAGATGCAAACGGACATACGACGCGCCCAGGGCGAAAAGGAGCACTTCCAATCGGAGCTGGAGCGCGTCACCTACGAGCTGGAGCGCGCCCATGCGGCACAGACCAAAGCGGCCGCCAGCGTGGAGGCCGCCAAGGAGGAGGCAGCCCACTATGCCGTCGAGCTGGAGAAGCTGCGCGAGCGCTTCGAGAAGAATCAGGTGGAGCTGCGCAAGCTGCAGGACACAGACACCTTTGGACGTGAGACGCGTCGCCTCAAGGAGGAGAACGAACGGTTGCGCGAGAAGCTGGACAAGACGCTCATGGAGCTGGAGACGATACGCGGCAAGTCGCAGTACGAGTCGGAATCCTTTGAGAAATACAAGGACAAGTATGAGAAGATCGAGACCGAAATACAGAACATGGAGACGAAGCTGCACGAGACCAGTCTGCAGCTCGAGCTGTCCAAGGGCGAGGTCGCTAAATTGCTGGCCAACCAGGACAAACAGCGCAGCGAGCTGGAGCGTGCCCACATTGAGCGAGAGAAGGCGCGGGACAAGCACGAGAAACTGCTGAAGGAGGTCGATCGTTTGCGCCTGCAACAGTCCTCGGTGAGCCCCGGCGAGCCGGTGCGCTCGTCCGCCGCGATCTCTGCGGGCGAGCGACAGGAGATCGATCGGCTGCGTGATCGCCTCGAGAAGGCGCTGCAGTCGCGCGATGCTACCGAACTGGAGGCCGGTCGCTTGGCCAAGGAACTGGAGAAGGCACAAATGCATTTGGCCAAACAGCAGGAGAATACCGAGTCCACGCGCATCGAATTCGAGCGCATGGGCGCCGAGCTTGGACGCCTGCACGATCGTCTCGAGAAATCCGAATCGGAAAAGGAAAGTCTGCGACAAGGCAGTCGCGGCGCCGGTGCCGGTGCCGCTGGCGGCGCCCATCCACAGCTGGAGAAGCACGTCCAAAAGCTGGAGAACGATGTCAAACAGCTGGCCATGGAGCGCGAACAGCTTGTGCTGCAGCTGGAAAAGAGTCAGGAGATACTGATGAACTTCCAGAAGGAGCTGCAAAACGCCGAACAGGAATTGCAAAAGACGCGCGAGGAGAATCGCAAGCTGCGCAACGGCCAGCCCGTTGCACCAGCCGCACCCGCCGAAATTCAGGCCATGCAAAAAGAGATCCAAACGCTGCAGCAGAAGCTGCAGGAATCGGAGCGCGCCCTGGCAGCGGCGGGACCACAACAACAGCAGGCAGCGGCAGCTGCAGCGGGCGCCAGTCGCGAGGAGATCGAACAATGGCGCAAGGTTATCGAGCAGGAGAAGAATCGCGCCGACATGGCCGACAAGGCTGCCCAGGAGATGCACAAGCGCATACAGGTGAGTGTACAGCCGGAAGACCTGAATAGAAAAACCCAACTACAACTCATTTGCCCATTTGCCCACTTGCCAGCTGATGGACCAACACATCAAGGATCAGCACGCCCAGATGCAAAAGATGCAGCAGCAGATGACGCAACAGCAGCAGCAGGCGGCGCAGCAGGCGCAGCAGCAGCAGCAAACGGCGGCAGCCAGCGGCGGCGTCGATGCCAAGGAGCTTGAAAAGGTCAAAGTTGAACTGCAGGCGGCCTGCACGGAGCGGGATCGCTTCCAGCAGCAGCTGGAGCTATTGGTGCAGGAGCTCGAAAAGAGCCAGGTAAGCACAAAATAAAATAATCCAGTATGTGTGTACCCATTGGGAATAGTTTAAGAAAAAGTGGGGTATATTGGTTGTGAGTAGAGAAGTGTGAAAGAAGGAAAGAAGCATGTATTTATTCGCGATCCGCATCAACAGCCCAGTCGAGCTAAACTGTGTGTATAAACGCGTAAATTAAATTGCAGTAAAGCTTATTTTAAATTATCAATAAGTCTATGATATCGATAAGAATCGATAATCACATTAAAGCTATCGGAAATTATTGTATTAGAAGAACTTAGAAGCTCCAAATGAATGTGGTAAGCCGGTATGCTTATACTAATACTCTACTATTTCACCTTTCATCATATTTCACCTCTCACCATACTTCACCAAAAAAAATGACTGAAAAAATAACTAATTTTATGTTATACACCCTTGCATACATTTGCATTCCATATCTAAACGAAGATACACATAGTACATAACTGTCAGCATTTTACTGAAAAAATTTAATTATTGCCAAAAAAAGCGGGCAGAATTAAAAACTAATATTAATAATGTTGAAAAAAAAAGAAAAATATCTAAACACTGAAAAAAATAAACATAAAAATCGAACAAAAAGCTCCGAAGTTATTCGCAAATGCATTTTTCACAATGCGAAACTGCGTAAAGAAGTAAAAGAAGTAGAAGAGGAAGCACAGTTGCAGCTCGCGTCGTGCGGTTGTATGTGTGTATGTGGGTGTGTATGTGTTAGTGTGTACCATGCAGGGCTTGATACAGGGCTGTTAGTCTGTTTTCAACACGACTTATCATGTTTATTTTTACACCCCTCCCCCCTTCCCCCTTGCAGCTGTCCAATCAGGAGCAGGCGAAGCAGCTGCAGACGGCGCAGCAGCAGGTGCAGCAGCTGCAACAGCAAATACAACAGCTGCAGCAGCAAATGCAGCAGCTGCAGCAGGCGGGCAGCGCGGGCGCCGCGGCAACAGACGTGCAGCGGCAGCAACTGGAGCAGCAGCAGAAGCAGCTGGAGGAGGTGCGCAGACAGATCGACAACCAGGCGAAGGCCACCGAAGGCGAGCGCAAGATAATCGACGAGCAGCGCAAACAGATCGAGGCCAAGCGCAAGGATATCGAGGACAAGGAAAAGAAAATGGCCGAGTTCGATGTGCAGCTGCGCAAGCGAAAGGAGCAAATGGATCAGCTGGAAAAGTCGTTGCAGACACAGGGCGGCGGCGCAGCGGCCGCCGGCGAGCTCAACAAAAAGCTAATGGACACGCAGCGGCAGCTCGAGGCGTAAGTAAAAGCGTAAACAGGGCATCAACTTACCCGACAATAATTATTTTATAATTTACACACTTAACACTTGCACTTTAACACATAAACACAATTTTAACTCTTAATTTTTCGCGAATTTGGAGCACGATGCGCCATTTTCAACGGTGTGACCGAACTGCGATTCTTTTATAATGCCTTGGCAGCTGTTGACATTAGCATAAGCACAACATATATCGAACATCGATAGCTAGACTGAACATAACATGATCATAACATAACATGCCAATGCAATGTTAATGCTCATTACATTTGGCTTATAATGCCACGGCTGTTGCTGACACTAGCATAAGCATCAACATACAACGAACATTGACAACTAGACTTAACATAACATGATCATAACATAACATACCTAATGCAATTTTAAGCTCGCTGCTTACACTCGTATACTCATTATGTTTTGTCTTATATTTTCTGACATCAGATACCAGGCAATGTTAAGCTCGCTGCTTACACTCTTATACTGATCATATTTCGTCTTATATTTTCTGACCTTGCAGCTGCGTCAAGGAACTGCAAAACACAAAAGAGGAGCACAAGAAGGCGGCAACCGAAACGGAGCGCCTGCTGCAATTGGTACAAATGTCACAGGAGGAGCAAAATGCCAAAGAGAAGACCATTATGGATTTGCAACAGTGAGTATAAGATACAGGTAAACAGGTGAACAAACTAATCACTCTTATACCCTCGCAGAGCCTTAAAGATCGCTCAAGCCAAAGTCAAACAAGCACAAACACAACAGCAGCAGCAGCAGGATGTAAGTTAACATTTATTGTCTTATACGCTCTGTTAAACTTCAACTCTTGCTGTTTATTTTGCAGGCTGGACCCGCTGGCTTCTTGAAGAGCTTCTTCTAAATCGAAAGCGTATAAGTACTTGTGTCGCCCGCAAGTATAAGTACAAGCCTAACACAACAAATAACAGCACTGTCTACTATTTTGTATACTACCGATTACCGATATACCGACTATGCAGTATTTCTTCTACTACTATGTACCACACACACACACACACGTGAACACACACACACACACACACATTTGTAAATGACATATGTAAATGCAAGCAAATTATTTGATATTTATTATATTGTAATTAGGTTGCCGCTATACTCAAATTATGAATGCATTTATCTAAATGTCAGATCGGTTCGTAAAGCGTAATTTGTAACTCTCTCCATTTCGAACTTCAACTTAACCTAAACTTAAACTCTCCCTCTCAATCGATTTCGACCCCCTCTCTCCCACACTCTCACTCCCTCTCTCTCTCTCTCTCTCTCTGTCTCTTTTGCTCTCGCTGTCTAGTTAACTGTTGATCTTCGAATTTCACCGACTTATACGCTGTAAAGTAGACTACACTTTCCCGGCACCGGCTCGAATTGTACTCGAATTGAGCTTACACGACATCCGATACCCTGTAAATGATCAATTTTATACATTTTTTCAAAGTTCTTACAAAATATTTTCAATTTTTCAAGTTGTGTAAACTCAAATTTGAGTTGGTTTTTTCTCGGCACAGCTCTGTCCGCACGATCCTTAGTTTTGCATACGGCGCGAATGTGATTCACAAAAGCAAAAAAAAAAGAAAAGCGAAACAAATGAATAAATAAAAATAATTATTAAATATACATGCATAAATACTACGTATAAATTGTTAGGCAACGTATCGTATAATTATGAAAAGTACATATATACATATATATATATATATATATGTATTTGTAGCTAACGATGTGCTAGCCTCTGTTATAGTTAGTTAAAAACTGAACAAATGCAAAATCACAAAACACATGCAAAACATAATTTATATATATATACATACTATATATATATATCACACACTGTACATACAGCATCTATCGTACGATCTGAGTACGAATACGAATAAAGAGTAGAGCAATAAATTTATATATAACCCATGATACGATTATATGACGATATAAATATATATATAAATATATATATATGAATATATATATATGTGTATAAAATATTTAGCCGTGTACCAAAGCGAAAAATGCAAGAAACTATTACCAGAAATATGCCTAAAAACTCAAATTTCAAATTCAAATAAAATACAACTAAAACTTCATTAAATTGGAACTCTATTTTAATTAGTTCAAATATACATGGCATCTATCGTACATAGAGATTAAATAAAATACATATACAAGAATATCCCTAATCAAAGCATCTAGTTCAATTTATACTCCCGACTCCAGACTCAGCTCCTTGCTTTGAGATGAATCGATTCGGAAGTCGAATAAAGGGAATACCCCTAATATTGACTATCAAACTCCCGCCCCAACACTCTACACTTCAGAGTCAGCTCCCTGCTTCAATCTCTTGCTGTGAATGAGCTTTGAGATGAATCGATTCGGATGTAGAATAAAGGGAATACCCCTAATGTACACTGTAAAATTCCCGTCTCACACTTCAGACTCCACACTCAGCTCCCCGCTTCAATCTCTTGCTGTGAATGAGCTTTGAGATGAATCGATTCGGATATAGAATAAAGGGAATACCCCTAATGTACACTGTAAAATTCCCTCCTATATACTCCCCACTCCAGACTCTAAGCAAAGCTCCTTTCTGCTTAATTCTCTTGCTGTGAATGAGCTTTGAGATGAATCGATTCGCAAGTAAACTATGGGGAATACCCCTAATGTTCACTGTCAAACTCCCGACTACAAAATCCACACTCAGCTCCCCGCTTCAATCTCTTGCTGTGAATGAGCTTTGAGATGAATCGATTCGGCAATAGTAATGAAGGGAATACCCCTAATGTACACTGTCAAATTTTGCTTTTTTATTTAGAAGAGTTTAGATAAAAGCAAATGGTGTTATTGTTATCATACATATGCATACATACATTTATATATATACTAGCATATACATACAGTATATATATATATACATATATTTACATATATACAATTAATATCGTCTAGCGAAATATATATATATATAAAATTATTAGCTTTGTTTCCACATTTTGTATTCTTTCAAACAAGGATTATTAACACTGCCAATGTTTCCATACAAATTAAATATGTTTATTTCATTGAAGAAGAAGAAAATCCAATAAAAGTCAAAGAATTCGGTTTGAATTGAACTTAATCAAAATAAAATACAACATTAGCGGTACTCCCATCACGCATAGACACACACAAAAAAAACAACAAAGCATTCTAAATTAAGATTCTATTGCTGCACTTTTGTTCATTAGCGGAATACCCCTGTGCTAATCATTTGACAACGCCCAAGACATTCAGAATAAACAAACAATCATATCATACAACTAAATATATATATATATATCAATAACAACATGACTAAGCGTTAATGCACATCCCACACACTCGCAATAGTTATCGATAACAAATCGATAGACAAACGCAAACCCAAAAAAGGCAATTTCTTTTTTATACTTAGAACAAATCAAAGCAAAGCGAAAAAAAGTGCTCATGAAATCAACACTCGATTATAATTTACACAATCGATAAATCGATAACATATTTAAATCAAGCAATTTACACTTTCTGCATTATTTCAAACAGAAGAAGCTGGCAAAACGATGTTTTAAATTTTTGTATCGATATCGTTATTGTTATCGTTATCGATATCGTTATCGATAACATTGTCAGTCAGTGAAAAATATCGCAATACTCACATATTAAGTTAATTATATATATATATACATACAGATATATATGCTGTTTATCGTTAGTTGAGGCAATGCTATCGAATAAACATATTCGATAGACATTCGCTTTGTGTGTACATAACTAAGGGCCCCCAAAAAAGTTCCTAAACTAGGAACGACGGGTAAAGCGCAGTTAAACGAGTTGCAAGTCAAGTAAATTTAATACACTTTTTTGCGGTAAACATTGTCCAACAGCCGGGCAAATGTGTACATAAACATATATCTATATAAATTAGAGGTCAAAGGTTAAGGCATAACACAAGATGTATTATATATGACAAGCTATATGATATACCCTACAGTTAGCTCTATATGGCATATACTTAGCATCGATACTTGCATAAAACTACTAAGTAAGTACACTGAGAAAAACACGGACACAGTTGAATCAAGCAATTAAGGACAAATCAACAAAATCGTTGGGACACATCAACAGTTGCTCTCAAACTGCGAATACACAACGTTGACAATATTTGACAGGCACACACACACACACACACACACACACAGACACACAGACACATTGTCGTCTATATTAAATATTAAATTTCTGTTGAAAGCCAACATATCCCCAATAAATATATATATATACATAGCAAATGATATAGCACCAAAAATTATATAGAACATGTAAATGAAGAACAACTATTCTCTATACATAAATATTTATATAAATATATATATATATATACATAAAACTCTCTCTATCTCTGTCTGTAAACAAACAAATTTCCAATTTGATTTATAAAGAAAAACCAAAAGAAAAACCAAAAGAAAACAAAGGAAAACACTTGCCTTCTAAAGTATGAACAAGTTCTTATTAATATTATTATTAGCCTAGATAGTTTGAACTACAACAAAAGAGATAAAAACAAAAACTAACGGTACATTGTCTATATTATATATACTTATATATATATAAATATAAAGAAAAAGCAACAAAAGGAATAATAATACTAATAATAAAAATAAATAAAAACACTTTAATCATATTATCCCCGCCGTCGTGTACCCAAATTACAAACTAAAACGTAAAACTCGTACAATTAATACAAATTAAATAATAATATTAAAATTAAAATAAAATAAAAGCAGCTTCAAATTTTTCTATACAAAAAATTAAACATAAAAATAAAATAAAAGCAACAAAAACTAGAAATTCGAATATGTAATTAGCATACTGTAAACTCAATGTTATAGGCACACACACACAAACTCACACACACACACACACACACACACACACGCGTACACACTTAACAGTAAGTTCCCCAATGAATTTAACAGAAATCGCAAACAGAGCTTTGGTTAATTTATTTGATTTCTTTTTTGTGCCGAGAATTTGGTAAATGGTCACACTGAAAACAAATACACACACACACACACACACACACACACACACACACTCACACACACAGCATAGATAAGCGTATTTAAAAAGTATAGAAAAATAGCGCAAATTATATAAACGTATATATATATATATATATATATATGAATAAAAGCAAACATAGCAGAGTACAGTGGGCCGAGAACCTAAAATATGAGATCAAAAATGAAGCAACAACAACAACAGCAGCAGCAGTTAACTTGTTTAGAGAGAAGCGTAAAAAGCAGTTTGAACAAAATACTAGGCAAAAAATACCAAAAATACAAAAACCAAAAAAATTCGTGTATACATTTTTTTAACAAGTTTGGTGATCTACGATATTGATTATTGATAAATAAAAACATAAACAAATACTTATATATATATATACATTATATATATAGTTAAGCCATGATATATATACACATACACACATACATACATACATATATATATATATATAAATATATATATATTATACATATATGAACTAAATAAGTTTACAAGGTATATGCATTAAAAGAAAACCGCAGCAACTAAAAAAAAACATAACATAAAATAAAAAAAAACATATGAGTTAAACAAAAACAACAAGAAAAACCACAAAATAAATAAATTTATTATATACATACATAGAAGAATATTAAAAAAAATACGAGATGAAATGGTATGAAATGAAACGATTATTTGAAACATGTTCATTATATATAAATGTCATTACAAATGTTCTTCAAAACTGCCTACCAATAAAATATATTTCAAATAATATGCAATTTGGTGTGCACTCAATTTGAGTGGGAAATGCGGGGCTTGGTTCCACTGTACTAACAATTTATCAACAACTATGTTTTAAACGTGCCGGGCTTGTGCGCCAAGCGCGGCTAACTTCACGTCACTTAACAGTGAGCCTGCGCTCAATTTTGCGCTAACAGAATAGTATTTGCGCAATTTTGCGTCAACATACTGTAAAGGCAAACTGCTTGCACAGCAAGCAGTATCCGCTGTTAACAGCAGCCAAGCAGTGGCTATTTAAATTCCAATCAGCAAATCAAATCGCACTTAAACAAAAACAATTAAACACGCAGTAAAATATTTAAATTACAAAGCAATTATTTTAGCCACAAACAAATTTTGCGCGGCGCCTGCCATATAACGCACTCATGCATTATGCTGCCTTATTGGTTTCATTCTGTATTCTAACCAGAAACCAACCAGATTTTGGTCTGTTAAATGGTGCCACAAATTGGAAAGAAGCAGCCAACGCAATTGGAATCGCAGTGCCAGCTGCCCTATACAATATTAAAAGTTAAACACACACACACACACACACACACACACACACACACACACACCCACATGCAGAGCATGATGTAATCATATATATCTCATATACACACACATATAAATGCGTTGGGGTCACATGTAGCATATACCGTTAGCACGCACATACATACATACATACATATATGTAACTACTTAGAAATAAATGCACACTTACACGGACAGCGTATGTACAGTTAGTTATTACTGTCCAATTGGATTACTGCTCTCGTCTCTGCAGCAGCAAAAGCTCAGCTACCCCCGAAACGTTTGCAGCCCCTCGCATGGGCGCATGTGCTGCCCAGCTCTGTCGCGGTCGCTGTTGACTTCGCTGCTGGCGTCGGCGTCGCTGCCGCTGTTGCTTTTTATCGATTGACCCAATTCTTGGGTACATATTTCTACATAGTTGAATTTTCTTATCGCGAGCTTCCTTTTTTTTCTTGTTTTTTTTGCTTTCTGTTTTTTGTGCGCTGCGTATACATGTTTTTTTCTCTCTCCTTTGGGCACATTCCAATGGCTTCGTCCTTTCAACGTCCTTTCCACAGCTTAAAAGCTTTTTCATTTTCCTTTTGCAATTTAATGGCCAAATTCGAAGTGCCTCGCCCCCCTTTTTGGACTTTTCCAGTTACATACATTTATGTATATGTATTAGATTTTTTGGGGGTGTGGTCAGGGTGTGGGCTTTCTTCTTCTTCTTCTTCTTCTCGTTCTTATTGGGCTTGGTTATGCATGCTGCATGGTCTTATTAGCAAAAAATAAGCTCATTATGTCATCAGCAAAAGCCGCAGCCGCCGAACGAGAGTTTTGTGTTGCAAATGGAAATTTGATGAAACTAACGAGCCAATAAGCGAAACTTACAAATTCCAATTGGCAAACATTGTTGCTACTAACGTTAAACTAAAAGCCAACAGATAAGTTTTAACTAATTGGATAATCAGCGTTCATTCTTATAAGAATGTCAATAAATATTGGGGAAATGCCATAGTAGGCAATATTCATAACTAATTAGATGGTACACACTATATTTATTCCAATTAGATTATGTGTACTACACTGCAAGATTTTTTAAAGTATGTATGCCATTTAGATTCGTTTAGACAATTGCTTAGGGCTTCAATTGTAGGAAATCCAATTGGACATCTAACTACTACATCTTACTAGATTTCCATGCCAAAAGACTTGTACTAAATACTACCACACTAATAATGAAGGCAAAAGTCCCAAAGGGAAATTTACAACTGAAAGCTAACTAGATTTCAAAAATGCTGCTAGCTAAGGAAACAATTTCCCAAAAGGAAATATGCTAGTATAACTAGCTTAAGGAACCATTTCCCAACAAGATATATACAAGTCCAACTAGATTTACGACTGCACCTAAGTGTGCCCATTAAAAAAGTTTAGTTACAGCCAAATTTCCCAAAGGGCATATTAAGCTCAGAAAACTCGAAATGAAGTCCAATTCCAATTGGGTTATGGAATTGTTGCCCAAGCCAACTAGATTTTCAACATATACCAATTATGTTTCATCAAGTGCCGTTTTTCAAGGCAAATAGTGTCCCATTTATCAAATGCTTCAGACAATACAAGTGCCTGTGTGTGTGTGTGTGTATGTGTGTGTGTGTGTTTGTTTATTTTGTGTGCTTAGTGTTGTTTTATTTGAGAGCATAAACAAACGATTATCCGGCCGACCCAGAAACATATTTGTGCAGCACAAATTACGAGCACATGAGTTTCCAAAAGAAAAGCCAACGAAAATGAGCAGCAGAATAAAGTTTTAACAAAAATAATGGCCTGAAATAAGCATTAAGTGTGGTTATGTACGCAAGCACACACACACACACACATATGTACATGCATAAATGTGTATGTACTCACTCGCATATGTATGACACGTGTAATTGACCTACTTTCCCTATTCGACAGAGCAGCGCATTTAACGCACACACACATACATAGGCAAACGCATATGTACAATGCCATAGATACGCATAGAAAAACACCAATACGCACGCAGCAAAAGCGCGTGAGAGCGAGAGAGAGGTAGAGGGAGAGGCGCACACTTTATACGTATCGATAGGCGTATAACAGCTGTGATACACTTGTGTGTGTGTGTGTGTGTGTGTGTGAGTGCTGCAGCGCCTTGATCAATGTTCTTTGCTATTGACATGTTAATAGCCGCAATTTGTTTTCATTTACCGATCAAAATTATGCTGTCACACACACACACACACAAACTAGATACATAAGTATGTATGTCTATGTAGTAGCAAAGAGCGAGACGCTGCGTAAAGCTTTTTACAGCTGCAAAGCTCGCTCTCTCTCTCTCTCTCTCTCTCTCGCTCGCTCGCTCGCTCTGTCGCCGCCAGCTGTATGTACAATATGTCTGTTGGCTTTGTAGCTTTGTTGTGAGCGACAAATTGTTTTGTAGCCGACGACCTATTTATTTGTGGCCAGCTGCACAGCGTTGCCGTACGTTCAGCAGATACACACAAACAGAAAGAGAATACCCCCCCCCCCCCCCACACTCACGCCCTTTTAATATACACGCCCCTCTGTTTAATGGAATGCATAGCAAAAATGCATACGAAACGCGGCGTTTTATTGAACGACAAAAAAGACGTTGCTGTTATAAATGTATGTATGTACATATGTATGTACATACTCTTTATCAGCTATGTACATATGAACCATACGTATCTGTTAGATAGTTCTGTTTGTTCTTTGTCGCGACAACGATAAAGTCAATTAGCAGAAAACATGCGCTCAAGTGCAAAACGCTGGCAACGCCAAAAGCAAAAAAAAAAAAAAAAACACATAAAGGAGCGAGTAATTAATTAGCTCAAGAGTCAAACACACACACACACACATGCACACCCACACGCTCTGCCCTCCCTTCCCCCTCTCCCTCCCTCGTGCATGCATAGCTGGAGCCAGCGTAGTGCCGCGTCGGCTGATTTAATTGTCAGGCGACAAAAAGCAACAAAATTGCGAAAATTTGTAATTTTTTTCATTTTTAATTAAGTTTACACAGTTCGCTGGCGCATCTGTCAGATACGTGTATCTGTCAGATAGATGCGTCACATATATTTACAGCTAGTCAGTCGAATCGATCGCATTGCTTAGAACTTGGCCAATTGCCTATTTGGCTTTTTGCACTGCCGCGTTGCCATCTGCTTGCCAAATTGTCTGGCAGCACTGCAAAAGTATCTGCAAGATACTCATTACTCGGAAGCGCAAAAACTTTGCCTCATTTGTTTGACTTTAGCCCGAAATATATTCGGAAAGGCAAACACTCGTGCATTTGTTTGGGTTATGTCTCTTTCGCTTTGGGGGTCTTTGCCGCACGCTACGTGACGACGCGCTGCCCACCGCAAAGTTGCGTCCAACTGTCATGAATATCTCTGATTTATTTCCGTACGTGTTCGAAGTCGCCGCAAAACGTAACGAGCAGACGCCAAGATACTCTCGCTATAGAAAATATATGCCCTTGCTTAACTTTCTTGTCTATAACTCAAGAAATCGGAGCTTTAGCTTGTAAAACACTATTCTAATCTTGTTGCAAGTTCTACGAGAACCGGTATCCCAAATTTCATGTCTCTAGCTTTTATAGTCCCTGAGTTCCTTGAGGTGAATAGGCCTTATTTGCCTATAACTCGAGAAATCAGATATTTATCTTACAAAATACAGTTTAAAATTAATTACAAGTTTAAGAACTTCTATTCCAAATTTCATGTCTCTAGCATAAATAATCACTGAGTTCCTTGAGGTGAAGAGGCCTTATTTGTCTATAACTCAAGAAATCGGAGCTTTAGCTTACAAAATACAGTTCTTAACTTGTTGCAAGTTCTACGAGAACCTATATACCAAATTTCATGTGCCTAGCTTTTATAGTCCCTGAGTTCCTTGAGGTGAATACGCCTTATTTGTCTATAAGTGAAGAAATCAGGGCTTTATCTTCCAAAACACCGTTCTAATCTTTTTGCAAGTTCTACGAGATCTTGTATCTCAAATTTCATGTCTCTAGCTTTTATAGTCCCTGAGTTCCTTGAGGTGAATACGCCTTATTTGTCTATAAGTGAAGAAATCAGGGCTTTATCTTCTAAACCACCGTTCTAATCTTGTTCTAAGTTCTCCGAGATCTTGTATCCCAAATTTCATGTCTCTAGCTTTTATAGTCCCTGAGTTCCTTGCGGTGAATAGCCCTTATTTGTCTATAACTCGAGAAATCAGAGTTTTATCTAACAAAACACCGTTCTAATCTTGTTGCAAGTTCTCCGAGATCTTGTATCCCAAATTTCATGCCTCTGGCTTTTAAAGTCACCGAGTTCCTTGAGGCGAATAGGCCTTAACACATGGTAGCTGGTTCACGATTTAAAGCAATGCCTCACACTTTGGTTCGCTTCGTGAACCTGTTTTTCCTTCCATTTAGAAGACAGGTTAGTTTTTTTTTATAGTAAATTTAAGTTCAGGCTTTGAAAGCTCTTTAATCTTAAAAATCTATAGTTCTATAGTTTTTATAAATCAATATGTAAGTTGTAAATCTTTATTAGATAAATCTAGAGTTTATAGCGACCTTAAAACACACTCAAAAACGTTATTAACTCTGAGATAATATGCTACAATTAAATTTCCTTGAAAGCGTATCATATAAAAAATAAAACCAATTCTTAACTTATCTAATTTATATGGAATACACGTAGTCCTCAACAATTACGAGGAAGCGATCAAAAATCTATTGCACACGTAGAAGCAATAGATATGATGATGATGAGTTAGGATCTTTTAATACCAAGCAAAAAATCGATATTTACGGTATATAAGATATATCGATATTCACGATATATAATATATATCGATATTTGCGATATATAAGACATGTCGATATTTACGATATACTAAATATATCGATATTTACGACATAGAAGACAGATATAAATTTACGATATTTAAGATATATCGATATTTACGATATATCGAAATTTACGATATATAAGATATATCGAAATTTACGATATATAAGATATATCGATATTTACGATATATAAGATATATCGATAATTACGATACATAAGATATATCGACAATTACGATACATAAGATATATCGGTTTATCGATGTTCAAGTCAAATACCTATTGCGTGCATGGTCTAGGAATCGATATGATGTGGATTGGGATTAGTAAGTTGTGCGGAGACTATCTTAGAAACTAGGCTTAGCATATCAATCTGATCTCTCGGGACTGGACATGGGGTCGCCGCCGAAGGTGACCTCCTTGGACACGAAGGAGGTGGGCGGTGCCATCGACTCCTCGCGGCGACGCTTCTGGGCACCAAAGCGTTTGTTCCGCTTCATATTGGTGAATCTGACGTAGATCTTGCCGCGCCGCTCGGTGCGATAGAAGCAGAGCTGCTCCTTGGGGAAGAGCTGGAGGATCTCGCGTTCGAGCAGGTGACTGCGCTGCAGCGTCAAATGCAATCGATTGTCCTCGTAGTAGCTGCAGATGAGCTGGATGAGAAGCAGGCGCTGCACTGCGTCCAGCTGCTCGTTCTGGCCGAGACGCTCCAGCAGGGATTGCGCCTTCACCGGCGATGCCTGCAAGATGGAGAGCACCGTGACGCCGCTCTCCTCGCTGACATCCGGTTCGGTTATTTCCGGCTTGATCAGATCCGCCGTCACCAGCTCCGTGTGGACCAGTTCGCTGTGATCGCTGAGCGGCAGCGGCACATTAAAATGCGAGGCATCCGCCATCTCGTTGAGCGTCACAAAGGGCTCCGCCGGCAACTGCTTGGATCGGCTGTCGTCCAACAGATCGGACTTGGAATGGCTTTTCGTCTGCTGGAAACTGTCGCCGGAGCAGCGACAGCCGCTGCAATGGCCCATGGAGCCGCTGTCCATTTGGGCTCTGCCGCTGCAGGGCGACGCATCCTGCAGCGGCACATTAAGCCAGCGGCGCCAGCGTTCCAGATGATGCTCAAACCGAATCCTCGTCCCATAGCGAAAGTTGCGCAGCAGCTCGTTCAGATGATGACGCTTCAACATCTGCAGCTCCTGCGTGTTAATTGCCTCCTCTGTGTGCGGGCAGTATAAGAGTTAGCAGTTGTATAAGAGTTATCAGCAGTATAACAGAATTCGAACAGCATTTTGATTGCTTTCGTTATTCTTCGTTCTGTTTTGTTTTGTTTACCTTGCAAATACGGCAACAGCTCGCTGACGTTCCAAGATTTTAACAGTTGAGCCAGCTCCTCGTATTCGCCGCTCTTTGGCATGTTGTCTGTGTAGATGGATGTGTGCGTGTGCATGTCGAAGCTGTGCATGTTTCTATCTGTGTGTGTATATGTATGTGTGTATGTACGGCCTACAACCGGGCGTACATCCTTTCGTCACGAACGAAACTGCGGCACTGAATTTTGCAACAGGCGCGAAGCGCGTACATACCCTCCGCTATACCTGGCACACACACACACACACACACACACACTCGCACACAGCTGCAGCTCGCGCGCATATGTATTTCGTTGCTGTTTGTATACGCTCGGTGTACATACATACATACATACATGTACATACATAGTACAGTCATGCCATCGCTGTGTTTCATCGTTTCGTCGATTCGTCGTTTCGTTGCCTGTGTTTCGTCGTACGTTGTTCGCGTTTCGTAGTCGTCGCCGTCGTCGTCGTCTTCATCGCTTTCATGCCTTAACGTGCTTATGTATGCATGCATGCCAGGGGCGTAGTTCCAGAGGGTCACTCGACTCTGGGTCAATGATTTGTGATATCAGTTATTAATCTGTACCATTTGTAGTTGTTTTTTTTATGTTTCCTTTGTAATATTCCCACTATTGCAATCCGTCGAAGGTTAGGTTATAATTATAAGCAATTTATGTTGATTTATCTGAACAGCCATAAAATTAACTGGTTTGTGTATATATATATAAGGGTTGCCGCATATCTTATCGTATATGCACACACATAAATATAATAAATTCTTAATTTTTTTTCCATTCAAATTTTCTGCTCAATGAGCTAAAAATTTGCTTAACTGCAAACGAAGCCCCCTTTCGGAAAAGTTGTTGACTACGCAACTGCTTGTACGAATGTAAGTATGTTTACATAATACTTAAACATGTGTTATGTATACATAATACACACATGTGCATACACACATATGTACATACATATGGCATAAGTGTTGTTGTTATGTAAATACATACACACATACATATGTAAATACATACGTACGTTTTGTTGATAAAAGCTGTTTAAATATTCGCAACACCCATTTGAAAAGAAAACGAACTCTGGCAGGCTTCAAAGCGCACAAACTCTGGCAACGCTGCCAGCTGAATGTTGAGTTGAGTTGTTGTTGTTGCTGTTGCTTTTTATTGTTGATCGTTTATGCGTGGCGGCGGCAGTTTGAACTACTGAACTGCCCCCCCCCCCCTAACCATTTCATTATGCTCGCATGCACTTGGTTTCTTTTTGGCGCCCACCTTTCAGCGCTGACTTCTGTGCGCACCGCCCCCCGCCCCGTCCCCGTTCCGCACTGCACGCCTTTTGTCTAATGCATTCTGCTGCCCGTGCAGATGTGCAGCTGGCCAGTCTCCCTCTCCCCCGCTCTCTCTCTCTCTCTCTCTCTCTCTCGCTCCCCACTGCGTTCGCCCTTCGACTCAACAAAAAATTCAACTTAAAGACGTTCGGAGTCGGAGTCGGAGCTGCTGAGGGTGTGGGCAAGGGGGCGCGGGTGCGGAGCCAGTTGTAAAGTAGCCAAGCGCTACGCAGGTTCAATGAACTTCTTTTGTAAATGTTTTTCTTGCTGCTGCTTCTTTTCGTTTTCTTTTTTGGTTTTCTTGTTGTTGTTGTTTTTTTGTTTACTTGGCCCGCTTTATTGTCGCCGTTGTTGTTGCTGTTGTTGTTTTTGTTTTTTGGGCTACAAAAAGACTGTTCGTAGTTGCTTCACCCAGTTTTGAGTATTTTTTTTCTTCTCTCATTTTTCTTATGGGCTTGGTTCTTATGACAAAGCCACAGACGCGCTCGGTTCAAATGCTTTCATTATCTCACGCAAGCATAGGGAAGTGTGAGGGGGGGGGGGAGGTATTCCATGCGAATCACTTTCCAAAAAAAAATAAACGGATGCGGATGCGCCTTGCAACTAGCTGCAAATGAACGACCTTCTTTGCCTTTTGACTTTTGCGTTCCGTTTTCAATTAACTGTTGTTCGCTCGGCGACTACCTGATGCGAATACCCCCCCCCCCTCTTCAACTTCCTCTTCTTCTACTACTTCTGCTTCTTCTTCTTATAAAACGCTAATGAGCTCTGCGTTTTGGCAATTTTCGAGTGGAAATTGAAGCGCTGCTCATTAATTGTGCACGCGTTAGCATCTTTTTAGCAGGCACTGTCTTTGGTTAGCATCTTTTTAGCTGGCACTGTCTTCGGTTACCAATTAAGTGCAAATCGCGTAAAGTTAACAGCAGCTAAAGATGCCAATTAAGTTCTGGACAGATTTGCAAGGCATCAATTTCGTTTGTTTAATTAAAACAGGTAGGCGAGCCTACTAAGCGGTTGCTTGCCCGACTAGGAGATACCCTGGACGCATGAATGTTAATAATCTTTATAAAGTCAAAAATAGAAATTCTTCATTTTTGATAAGTTTATTTCTCAATTATGGGGGATTAAAAACAAGTAGGCGTGTCCTAGGCGGGAGTGCCCGACTGGGAGATACCCTGGACGCAGACTTAAATATGGCATATGAATTCCTTCTTTTTTAATATATTTATTCCTCAATAATGGGGGAATTAAATCAAAGAGGCTTGCTCTAGGCGGGAGTGCCCGACTAGGAGATACTCTGGACGCAGGAATGGTTAGAGTCCGATTCTTATAATATACACAAATTACGCCTCTAAATAAGTTTTTTTCTTGATTTCGGGAGAATGGGAGAAGATAGAAGATATCCAAAAAGTGAACTACTCTCAAGTGTCGATTTTAGTCGAAATTATAGGAATGGAAGGAGATATCGAAAAAAGATTAGAAACACGTTCTGCGCAGAAGAAGAATAAATATTATATTCATATTGGAGAATAATTATACCTAATACCTATTCCTAGCTTTTGTTTATTCCCGAGATCAACCCGTTCACACAGACGGACAAACGGACATCTGATCTAGCGATCGTCCTACTGATCAAGAACATATATCTTATAAAGTCAGATACACCATTTACCCACTTTTAATGGGCTTAGGCTGCAAAAAGTCAGAAACTGGAACTGAACATGGATCAGACATATTTCTAGTATTTAACAATCTGTAATATTAATAAAACCCATTATTTCTTCAAAGATTTCAAGTCGTGTCTCTCAAGAATGCAATCAATGCCTAAATATTGTCGCATCGTTCGAAAGATCATTATTCAGCATCATCATCCAGTTCGATACACTTTTCAAGTTCTATTTTTGCTATCAAGTGCCACTTTTTATATATGTACATATATATAGACCTATATATAAATGATATATGTATGTATATAGACTACACGGGCAGACTGCTTGGCGTTTGGGTCTGGGCTGAAATGCTCGTGCGGAGATATCAGCGCCCCATAAATAATACGCATTAGGATCGTTGTTGAATTTGAACTGAGAACTGATATTATGACTATTTTGTGGCCATGAGCGTCGGGAATATAGATTTTCTATAAGAGAGTAAAAAGTTTGAGCTCCTATCTTGAAAACTTGGGAGACTTAAGTGAAAAACCAAAATATCTATATCACATATGATCCTTTCTACAGTTCCAGTTATACAATTTCTTATTTTGAAAATTATAAGAGATTATGAGCCAGTTCAGGTTCAGGTTCGACAACTAGTTCCGTTTGAGGTGCGGCTCATGATTAGATATATGTAAATCGAATAACAAGCTGGAACCAGTTCGAATTACCTAAGTAAATGTAATCTGCTAATGAATTTCGAAATAAATCATTGTCTGATCAAATGCAACAATGCATTGACTTAATAAGCCTGAATAGCTCAACTGATTGTGAATGGAAATGGTCGTGATAATATCAAGTAACATTCTACGCACAGTCCCCCTCCCTCCCCTCCCCTCCCTTCATCCACAGCAAACTGGTTTTGCGCATAAAGATGCATAGATACTTTCCACCCCATAGATAGAGATACTTTCGTGTGACGCATAAACTATTGCGATTGCATTCCGTCGCAGCGTTAAGCGATAAGACGCAATATTTATATGGCCAAAGTTGTTGTTTTGCGTCGGAATGGAAAATACCTTCAGGTAGAATGAAAAACAAAGAAACTGCATACATACTGAAAATGTCGTTGCTCAAAAGAATGTGAAGAAAACATGCGCAGTAGAACTTGCCGCAGGCCCAGAGGGTTGCCCGTCCAGAGGGATGAGGTGCGGTGCGGTGCGGTGGGGTGGGGTGGGGTGCGGCCAAAGTAAACCCAAAAAAAAAAAAAAAAGGAAAAAAAATTCTCAAGAACTTGCAATTGGGTGCATGCGGCGAAGTGTATCAAAATTCGGAACAGTGGGTCGTTCGCTTGGCAACAGAAATGCGCCGAGCGAAATTCCGCATAACTGATAAGAGGCGGGCTTCTAATCAAATTCATTGCGGAAACAATAATACACACATATATATATATGTATATTATGTGTATGTATGTGTGTGTATAGAGGAAACTACTTTGATGCCCCTTGAGTTTTGTTACATTATCGAGAGGCTAACTGCGCAGCTTTGTGTTTACCGCAGTCGCAGCAGCAGCGGCCGCAGTCGCAGCGGCAGCGGCAGTGGTGCGCAATTTTTGGCATTTCCAAGCAAATTTCCTTCCAGCGCGCTGATAACGGCACATGTCCAAAGCGAACGCAACGCTGGCTGCGGCTTAGGCCAATAAGCGCGACATGCGGCGACTGCAGACATTTTGGGCGGCTTAGAGAGCTTAAAAGCTGCGTGACGACAACTGCGACGCCAGCGATGACGACGACGACGGCGACGACGACATGAAGCATTGTGTGGAGCTGTCTCTCTGGGTGACCTACACTGGCTTCCCCTACAGCAGCATACATACACACACACACATACACACAAAAGAGCGTCAATGTATATACAGACACACAGGCATGTACATACACACATATACACAGCTGCATATAAAAGCACAAACTGACACACACACACACGATGTATGTATGTGTACATATATGGAACGCATTTTCGGTTGAAAACTGGATGGTCGCAGCGAAAGGCAAAGGCTGCGCCGCACATTCGCCAATGATTATTCGCTGGCATTAGACGCGCATATTTCCAACAGCTGGAACCGAACCGAGCTGCCAACTGGCAATTGTTTGGGGTCAGTCATTAAGTTTTCAACAAGGCAAACGGTAAACGCTCCACGCAAATAAGAGAGAATAAAAAATAGTGT